CGGCCCGTTCTCAACTACGACTTACAGGTCAATTTAGTAGCTTGGAACGGCCCGTTCCAAATTGGGAACGGCCCGTTCTGAGCTACTGAATCACCCATATTGGGCTTTTGGGCCTGAACTTGCTACGTCACAATACCCCCTAACAAATAAGAATTTTCGTCCCCGAAAATAGGCTTACTTGAAAAGAGAAATGGATATTGTTCCTTGAACTGACTCTCCACCTCCTAGGTAGCCTCACCAGTAGCTGCATCCCAAAGAATCTTCACCAAGCTGATGGACTTGCCACGAAGCTTCTTCAACTTGTGATCAACCACAACTACCGGTCTCTTCTTATAGGTCAAGTTCTCTCTAACTTGCACCTTATCTATCTCTACCACTTGACTCGGGTCTCTGATGTAGTTCCTCAACTGTGAAACGTGACACACATGTTCCCCCTCAGCAAACTCCAAAGGCTTTCGCCTTTTATCAGCATATGACTTCTATCTAATCTGGGCAGTCTTCATACCTTCTTGAATCAACTTTACTTTCTCAATAGTCTGTAAGACTAACTCCGACCCCACAACCACTGATTCACTATCAGGATTTCAAACGATGCAATCTCGATACTAGCATGAAAGTTATTGTTATACATGAACTCTACCAGTAGTAGGACTTCCTCCCAACTCTCCAAGTGGTCTAGCATACAAGCTCTCAGCAAAACCTCCAAGGACTGAATTGTCTTCTCTGACTGACCATTTGCTTGTGGATGATAAGCAGAACTCAACCTCAACCTCGTACCCAAGACTTGGTGTAGACTTTGCAAAAAATTTAGAAGTGGACCTTGGATCCCTATCTGAAAATAATACAAGAAGGCATCCTGTGCAACCGTACTATTTCTTTCACATACAACTATGTCAACTTCTCCAAGGACCACCTGATATTAACAAGCAAAAAAAGTGCACACTTGGCCAATCTGTCAACAACAATTCAAATAGCATCACTATTCCTAGTCAACTTAGGCAACCCATTAATGAAATCCATAGTGATACTATCCAACTTCCACTACTGGATCTCCATCAACAACAACAAACCACCAGACTTCTGGTGCTCAACCTTAGCCTTCTAACAAGTCAGACAGGCCGCCATATATTTAACAATGTCTCTCTATACTTAAAATCTTGAGGTAGGCAAATTCTGCCCTTAAACCTCAACTCCCATCTTCACCTATCTCAAAGCCAACTGCTTCCTGTGTATCCAACAAATTAAGAACCTTCACAACTTTCGAATCTTACAACTACTTCATACCAACTTGCTACAAGAACTCACTAGCAATGGTAATCATGCCACAACTAATGTGGTCTTGAGCCAACTCCATATACAAATTCAAATCTTTGAATTTCTCAACCAACTCCAACTCCTTCACCATTTCATGGCTTTCCTGAAGTGTAAAAAAGGCCACGTGGCATTGGTGTCGCTATGGCCTATAACGACACCGTTGAAAACAGCCCCAAAGGCGTAAATAAATTCAAAACAGCCCCATTTAGGTAAATAACTTGGTCAACAACCCTACTTTGGTCAAAAAGCCTTCAAATTGAGATTCTTTATTATTGTTTCAATGATTACAAGTTTTTAACTTCTCTCTCTCTCTTTCTTTTTTTTTTCTTTTTTTTCTCTTTTCTATTTTCAATTTGAAATCACAATTTTTTTTAATAAAAAATATTAGGTGTAAAATTGACCTCCATTTATATAACAATGTCTGTAAGATGGTTTAAGATTCAGGTGGCAACATTGATTAAGTTCATCAATGGTCACATCACCGATTAACAGTGTTGAATTAACTACGGGAACTAAAAACACTAATTCTAAAATAATAATAAAAAATCAATTTAATTGCATCTTTTTATACTCATGCTTTATAGTTTTGCGAATTTTGTTACTTAATTTTAAAAATCACACGTTTTTTCATCAAAATTTTAAAATTTTACATATTTTATTGTTTTTTTAGTTAACTTTCTAACATTATTAATTAAGTTAATTATTGATATAACATATTAATTATTTATGTAAATTAATAACATGACATACAGATAATTATGTAATATAATATGTTATGTTCAATAATCCAATATATTGCAAAAAAAAATTTAATGATGTGTTTGGTTGCAAGGAAAGAAATATGTGAAAAATAGAGTGGAGAGAAATAGAGAAAGAAAAAATAAGTAAGTAAAAAAAATTGTATGTTTGATTTAAGAGAAATATAGTAGAAAAAAAAATATAAACAAGTAATAAATAAGATATATAAAAAAGAAAAGAGAGAAATAAGTAAATAAGTAAGTAAAAAAGAGAGAAATAGATAAATAAATAAAAAATTAAAATGAAGTTTTGATTAATTTTTATTTTAATCATTTAAATCAAAAAATTATATAAGTAAATAAATAATTATAAAATAAAATTTTTTTATACTAAAATTTAAGTAAAACAATAAGTAAATAAATTTAAAGTATATAAATAATTCAAAAAATCGTATAAAAGCTTTGACTTTTAATTGGTTAACGAAAATATATAATCCATTGAACGTTTAGGCTTTTCATAATCAGTGATTTTGAAGCAAAAATTACTCGATTAAAACTTTCATTCAATGAATTAAATAATTTATTTTTAACGTATTTAGTATAGGAAAAATATTTAATTGATTGAGAGATACATTTTAATCGAATCGGACATTCTAATGTACCCATTATAATATTTAATAAATGAGATTGCTCAATTTAGTGTATATATAATTTTTTTTAAAATTTTATCTTTAAATTTTTAATTAATTAAAAATAATATTAAAAATTAATTATTCTTACAAAAATAAGATTCAAATTCAAGATTTTTAGATTTAAAAACTAAGTATAATATTAATTAATCTATCAAATATTAGTAATTTTTAAATTAATTTATAAAATAGAGACAAAATATTTTGATTCTACTAATATATGTAATGGATTTTAGAGCTGCTTTTGTTTTTTTTTTTTTCTTTTTAAATATGTAAACATTTGATTTAAAATTATTTGATTTGTAAGACTTTTATCTTTTCATTTCAATTTTTTTTTAAATTCTTTATATATATATATATATATATATATATATTAGGATTATAATAACATCGGTGTAACTTTTACTAAATATTACACCGTTTAATAAATTTATATTAAATGTGAATTTTGTAAATTCGGACGTTAAATTGAAAGTTCTTTACTTTTAGATTGAAAGTTCTTTACTTCTTTATATATATATGATTTAAAAGTAAAGAACTTTCAATCTAACAGTTGAATTTATAAAATTCACATTTAATATAAAATTATAGAGTGATGTAATACTTAGTAAAAATTATACCGATATCGTTTGAATCCTCATATATATATATATATGTGTATGAAATGTTTGGATTTGGTAAAGATATTTTTGATATATTATGAATCATGATGAATTGAGATTTTTCACACTTATGTGCAAATTATAAGGAGCAAGTTAAATAAAAATTTCATAAAATCTCACTTTACTTTAGCAAATAAAATTTTACTATATTTTTTTTCAAAGTTATTTCGATTTCTATAAAACAATCCAAAACACTTGGGCTAACATTTGGTGAGAAAAAAAAAATAAGTTCACTATTTAAATTATCAATTTGTCAATAATATATCACTTAATATAAATAAGAAAAAAAAATAAAAGAAAAAAGAATCCATACTTTACATCATTTTTATTAATTTTAAAAAAATTGATTGTACCATAACATTCCGGTGTATAAAAGTCGCATAATAACTCCCATGTTCCTTCTCATTTTGGTAGTTATTTGTGAAGAAATGAAAGTGTAACGATCCGGCTAGTCACTACACACGCCACTGAACACCGGAAACACCAGACAGAAAGAACGAGTATATAAATATAGGATCTAGAATATAAATATATACAAGGTCCCAATCCGACTAGAGTTAGAGTGTGCAAAAACAACCAAGCAAAACAAAATACATCATCGGCTGCTACACCAAGAAGCTGAAACAACACAACATCAGCTTAAAATCGACTCCGCCTGCTAGCTGCAGACTCACCACAAGCCACACACCTATCCCTGTTCTGCTCCCGTACATAGTACGATTATAGCAGTCCAATCACATGGAAACAACAAAGGGTAAGCTAGTATAAAAAGAATAACGTATAGCAGGATTTAAGTAATCATAACAATTTCAACTATCAACACATCATCAGTCTACATCTCATCGATTATACAACAAACCAGCAATTAGCAAATAATGCGTCGTCATGTGTAACAGCCCAAGCAACCCGCATGAGGATATTGTCCGCTTTGGCCCACGGCCGCACGGTTTTGCTCTTGGCGATGACACGCATGCCACCCCAAAAGGCCTCCTCACAAGGAAGGTATCCACACCCATATATATGGCATGCTTCGTTCGCCTTCCTAACCGATGTGGGACTATATCCACCCCCCCTCAAGGGAGTCCAGCGCCCTCGCTGGCACACCGATCCGGGCCCCGGCTCTGATACCAATGTAACAGCCCAAGCAACCCGCATGAGGATATTGTCCGCTTTGGCCCACGGCCGCACGGTTTTGCTCTTGGCGATGACACGCATGCCACCCCAAAAGGCCTCCTCACAAGGAAGGTATCCACACCCATATATATGGCATGCTTCGTTCTCCTTCCTAACCGATGTGGGACTTCACATCATGCATATCACCTCGGAGACCTCCTACCACAACTCAGCCTTTTGGCCTACAACAACTCAACCATTAAGGCCTACAACAACTCAATCTTTTGGCCTACAACAACTCAGCCTTTCGGCCTACAACAACTCAGCCATCATTCAACACTGCACAACTTTACAACACAACACATCATCTTACATCACATCAACACAACTTACAACAACATTCACCAGATACAACTCAACATCAACAACAACATTATCTACTAGTCATCACATCATATTCATCCATCTCAACTCAACTCAGCATGAACCAACATTAACTAGCATACAATAAAACCTCATCTCCGTGCCCGGCGCACTCGTGGTTGCGCCCAGCGCAGTGCAACCAGAGAGCACCAGGGGGCCAGCGCGCCCAACGCAAGCATGCCCGCGCCCGGCAGGACCTAGCCAGAGAGCCCAAGGCTCACTCGCGCCTGGCACAATACCCATTGCGCCCAGCGCATGCCAGGCAGAGACTCTATAGAGTCTCACGCGCCCGACGTGCCCAAACCCGCGCCCAGTGCGGGGAAAGTAGAGACTCCCCTTGGTCTCGCGCCCAGCGCAATTCAAATTGCGTCTAGCGCCCACAAGGCAGAGACTCCCCATGAGTCTCACGCCCAGCGCGACAAGGGTCGCGCTCAATACCCAACAAAATCCCCAAAAACCTACCACAACTGGTATCGCGCCCAGCGCGGTCCAAGTCACGCCCAACGCGGGTCAGCCAGAGACCCACATTCTCAAGCGCGCCCGACGCAGTCATCATTGCGCCCGGCGAGCTTGGCCAAATGGGGTCTCCTGGTGGCCACGCGCCCGGCGCGAAGAATTGCGCTCAGCGCGAGGTTCAGCAACAGCACTCCATTTTCGAAAAACTTAGCCAAAACCTGCAAAAATAGCCAGAAAACAACCATGCAAACCATCCAAAAGTTCCCTCTTCCATCAAACATCAACAAAAACGTCCTCTTATCAACATGCAACCACAATTCATCAAAAACCCCAAAATTTGTAAAAAACTCCGAAGACCCCAAAAACCCCATTTTTCAACCATCTCAGCTCGAAATTCAACAATCATCAAACAACAAGGAGTTTCGAGACTCCTTCACAGCCAAACCCCAAACCCTAAACCCTAAACCCTAAACAACCAAACACAACAAAAATAACCAGCTTCCCTTACCTCGGGCAAGATTCCGAGCTTCCGGGAAGAGAAACGAAAAACGGAGAAGAGAGTTGGAGAAGAAGATGAAGGAAGAGGCTCCGCACGTTTTCAACCAGAAATCCAACCTTCAATCAGCACCTTAAATTTAAATGGAGCACCAGCAAGAGAGCACAAAAATCAGCCACAGAGAAGTGCAAGTGAGAAGTGAGTGAGTAGAGAGAGTTAGCAAAGTAAGGAAGAAGAAAATGAGAACGGGTCCGGGGAAGAAGGAAAAGAAAATAAAAGGGGCCTAACAGAAAGTGTAAAACTTCCCGCTTTTTATTTCTTCGTTCACACATTTCCGATGCACCAAACGATTGACTTCTTTTATTTCTTCGCCATTTCGCTCCTCTCTTCTCTTTTTCATTGATATTTTGGTGATACCAAACAGAGGGTATGAATCTAAAACCAAAAAACACATATAAAAAGAGAGACTAAACCTGTTTAAACCTCCATTTCCTTCTATATTTGTTCTCCCTATTTCTTTCTTTTCTATATCACTACTCTTCCAAACAAAACATTGTCTATGAGCTCGCAGAATCTACGTTAGTCAGTGTGTAAACAAATGGAAACTCTCCAGTCTATCTTGAGAGTTAGTTCACAAAGACCACGTCAACAATGACAGACCAAATTGACAAATTCAAATCCGTGTATGACAAGAATAAAAGAATTCAAGCATTTAAAGGTATTTTAATAACAAAAACTTAAAGGCACTTACATGCAAGGAAACTATTACATGGTACAGAAATTTATTTATGAAAATCAATACGAATGACCAAGTCTTGATTTCCATCTAACTCCCAACTTTTATTTTGTTCTTTAACTGATTATTCACCCAATACTATGTAACCACGACCTTTCGTGATTAGATTCGTGCAATTTTTTTTCCACTGTTTAGTAATATTCTACACAGTGTAACAAAAATATTATTCATACGTGCTTACCACCACCCCATAACCCGATCGTGTGTAAAAAACTGCATAAGCTAAAGTTGAGAAGAAGACCAAGAATTTGAATCGATCCAATTATACGCGATTGGGCTCAAGAAAGCATCGGGAATACCAAAGGAACTGACCAAGGCAAGTGCATGCGGGCGAAGTTCAGCACAGAGTTTTGGCACTTCTTTCCTCACTGCAGAAGCATTCTCTGTTGACAAGTAGCCATATCGAAGAAAGGAAGCATCTTCATCCACACATATCGCAGCATACAACGATCTCAACAGTCCTAAGACATCCTACAGAGTGGATCAAAGCAAAGTAATCAATAAATAGATCTGTTTCACATATAATTGAACAATAAACAAAAGACACTAAAGCATGACAAGTGTTAACAACACCATCTAAGAGTCTTTTGGATAAACTTTTCTAGCAACACTTTTTAAGAGAGAAATAGAAAGCAAAAATAAGTTAAGTTTCTCCAAAAGTTAATTTGCATAAGTTAATTTGTAAAAGTTCTTTCATTTGCTTCTTCAAAATTTTATTTTTAACTTATGTGTAAGTTAGTTTTAACTTATGGAGAAACTTGTATAAACATGTCCTAGCACACTTTATTAAAGGCTCAAGGCTGAAATTAAGTTAAAAAAAACAAAATTTTGAGAATATTCTAATTTAATGAGCTCCATTTATTATTTTGTAGTTTCTAATAAATTTTGATAATAGTCAAAAAAGTATGTTAGCAAGAATACACTAGAATATTTTACTAGAGTGTGAAGGGGTATATTAGAGAGTACTCTATGGTCACATATCTAATTTATCAAAACCAATAAAAGTAGTTAAGATGGTTAGTTTTCATCAATAATATCATAAAATTAAATTTCAATCCAAAAATATCATTTGAATTAATGAGTTTAAATAGTGGTAGCATTAAATGACACTATCTAATTCAAGAGATAAATTTTTTCACTAATAAGTGCAACTTGTATTGTTAATGCATCTATTTATATGAGGGTATAAAAGAAAATTTGTAATTAATATACTTGTTTCTTACAATTTAGACAAAAAATAAGATACCCCTTTGTTTCTTATTTAAAGGATCCGAGGGAGTATATTACAAGCACTCCCCTGTAACAGGAATATTAGGCAAGCTAATAATTTACCTTCAATGAACCAGCTGGTAAAGTTGACTGTGCCTCCATGAACGTTTTTAATATTGCTCGTTCTGAGAAAGCTCTGCCCAAGTCTTGTGCGAGCTGATAACTCTGGAAGACAAAAGAGTTTCAAACTGTAAGACAGTGAAAAGATGAAAGGAAAAAAAAGAACAAAACCTGGTAGAATCCTCACTAAAATGAAGGTAGACTCTTTGCTTTCTCCAAGAGATTGACATTCTAAAACCTCTTCAGTAGACTGGAAACTCCCTGATGGCCATAGGCACCACCACTCTCCTCAAATCATACTTCAAGCCTTCAGCAAACTTCCTACACTTTCAAGCCTCAGAGTTGGCTTGGGTGTAGAAGTGTGCTAAGTGCTTGAATCTCATGGCGTACTCGATCACTGACATTTCCCTACGCTGTAATCTCATAAACTCTACCTCCCGAGCATGCCTGACCCTCACTGGGAAGTACTTCTCGAGGAAGGCCCTCTTGAAGCACACCCAATCCACAAGCACTCCACGATCAATCAACATCTTACTAGTACCTCTCCAACAAATACTCTGCCTCCCCTGTCAACATATACACTGCATAGGTGAGCTTTCGCTCCTCTGAACAACCTAGAACTGAGAATATCTTTTCTAACTCGCAAATCCAGTAGTCAACCACCTCTGGATCTGCATCACCTCTAAACTGAGGAGGACTACACTTCCTAAACTCAGCCAAAACCCGACTCTTTGTTAAGTCTCAATTATACCTATTTTTGGATGAGACTTATTGAACAATTCCACTCATCCTCTGAACCATTGCAATATAATTGTTCTCTTTTTTGTTCATTTTGTGTGCAGATATAACTAACCCAAATTTAGCTAACAATACCTTAATACACCTCATTTTTGTGCAGGTATTGAGCTAGAGAATTGAGGATTGAAGATTCTTAGGATTGGAAATCTAAGAGGCTAAGGAGCAGAGAAGAGGTTCTGCGCCGGGCGCAAGATGACCCGCGCCGAGCGAGAGAAACAGAGTATCTCACCTTTGGAAGCCATTGCGCCGGGCGTAAAATGAATTGCGCTGGGCGTGTCCTAAAGGCAGAGAGTATTTGGAAGGCCATGCGCCGGGCACATAAACCCTAATCTGACTCCCCAAGCTCGTATTTGAAGACAATTTCGGGGCTTTTCTCCTCATTCACGCAAGGGCGCCTCCTTGGAGCTGTAGAAGGGATTCTCAAAGCTTGGGAACGTTCGTGTGTGGATCTTTCCTTCGGTTTCTTCATTTCTCTCTTCCATCTCTATTTTTGCTTTACCCTCATTGTTGAGTGGTTCTACCCATTTTTGTGGAGTTAGATGTAACCAACGAATTCTAATGTAATCCTTACATTTTAATGATATATATACATGTTGTTTCATTCTTTGTTGTGTACGTTTCTATGCTTAATGCTTGCTTTGGATTGATCACCCTTTGCATGATTTAAGGTTCCATTGAGTATTGGGAAATACCATTGAAACTAGTTCTGAAACATGTGCCTAGTGGGGATTGTATCTAGGGATAGAGCTTTACCCATTAGTAGTCTTAAACCCTAATCTGTAATGTGGGTGTAGGTATTGAATACTCAAGGGATTGATATTCATTATCCGTTCCTAGGCTCTTTCTTTAAGGGATTAGGTTTGAGTAAACTTATGGGTTGACTAAGCAATGTATGTAACAAGAGATTAAGGATTCATTAGTCTGACGTTTGGTGAAATCTGACCCCACAACCTCACAATACCATTATACCATTTCTTATCTTTTTCACTCACAATCAACTATTTTTGTAGTTTAACATTCCAATAGTCACAACCTTGAATTCACATGACAAACTACGAATTTGGAATCATTCTTTAGTCACGAATAGTCAATAAATGCTTATTTTACCTTCTAATCCCTGTGGATACGATATTTTTACTACTTGAACGGCCGGTATACTTGCCGTGTTTGAGACCGTTGATAGAATTAAAC